TATTCTTGGCTGGTTGCTAATCACAGTGGTAGCACAATGCTGCAAACTTTCTATGTGAAAAGAATAAATGGTGTTTACATGTTGCTTTTAATTCATAGTTTTGCTCATTCCTGCTTAGCCTTGGGTGGGTAGGGCCAGTTTCAATAGAATAAGAATTGTTGGCCATGATAGAACAATGATATCATATGTTCTCTGTATGCAATCCAAGTTAGTCCCTTTGTGCTTGACATAATCATATGTTAAAAATTTTGGAGTAGTTATGAAAGTAATATGTTAGTCCAGAGGTTTTCATAATCTTCTTGAGTTTCTAATTCATTTTCATTACACTCAATTGTATAATTTATTTGGCATAAATCTTTCAGGCTATTTAGCATTTGGATTGTTTTCTAATCGGAAAAATCACATAGTGCTTTTTGCTTACATCGCAATTTGAAGAATAATGGGTATCATTGATAAGCTTGATCAAATACTACTAAATCTATTCTTACTCCTCTTCATTTGATTTTCTCTTTTGACGTTCAGTTGCTTATGCACAGCTTCGCATGGCTAGAAAACAGGCTAAAAATGTCTTGCACTTTGAGGAGAATGTAAGGCGGAGACTTCTATTGTTTTTTTCTGGTTGGCCTGGGCATATCTCCAGCTTTGCCATCCTCTGGAAAGACAAAAAACCAAAATCCTTGTGATGAAAAATGCTTACTAGAACAGAATAAGCGAATACAGAGAGAAAATAATGCTTCTGAAGACTTCCCTAATTTTGTTAGAGAAGGTTTGTACTGTCCTTGTAACTGTGTTAAAGGTGGAACTTTTTGACAGTAACTTGTTCATAACCATCTCTCCCCACTATTATTATTGAGCTCTATGATCTTTACGTTATTGTTTCTATCTGGTTCTGGTTTCACTATAAACATAGTGACATCGGATAAATATGTTAAACGTGACTTGGGTCTCATATTTTCGGACATTGCAGCTGGTACAGGTGATTGTCCAAAGGATGGTCAACAGGTTTTACTTGTTTCTAGAAATCTTACCGACTTTCTTTTCTCAGAGTTCATCACTGATTTTGAAGCTGAAACATAAAAAATGTATGTGTCTATTTGATTAAGGATAACTCGTCCTTTACAGTTTGCTTCAAATTATGGGTTTTTGTTTTGTTTCTGGTGTCTTCTCGGACCAAAAAAAGAGAAGTGAATATTTTAGAGTGCATTTTCAATCCCGTAGTGAAATGACTGATAATTTATGTGAGATTATGAAGAAGTTCTAGGACAAATTTGAATCATCTGTAGGCTCAGAATAATGAGCATTCACGGTGACGTTGCAAATTGTGAGCCTGTTTGGAGTGATTTTGATAATTGATTTTTTGACTGTTAGAAGAAAAGTGGGATCCACCTGTGAGAGAAGAAGTCAAATATGACGGCTGAAATAGTAAAATAATGGTCAAAAAATTAATTTTTTGGGTGAAAAAATCGCTCCCAAACAGACCCTGTATGTTTCTTCCTATATGTGATGATTTCTTCTGCTTTCTTTTCTCCAATTATAATGAGTCCGGTCGCCGTATTGATAGTATATACTTGCAAGGTTCTCCTGCAAAAGTCAGAATGACTACTAATGCATTAATTCCAGGTGAAAAAAAAAAGTTTGTAACCATTGAAAGTTTTATATTCTTTCTTATTGATAAGTAACTGAGAAAAAATTGAAACGTAGGGTTTGAAGAAGGAATCCGAGACATGAAACCCGTGGGAAAATGGAGTATAATTATTCCTCCAGAGCTGGGACGACCAGTAAGTAATTTGTCTTTCTTCACCCCAATATATTTAGCCATATAAACATTATTTCATTTTCTCTTTTTTCTTTCATAGACGCTAGTCTTGTTCTGTATCCCCAACTTGTGGAAAAAAATCCTGTCATGTGTTGAATTAGCTTCTTTGATTGTTAGTTTTTCATCCTCTGAGCTCTGAGCTTCCTAAGTTAAAAAAAGACGCGGACAAAAATTTTAAATTCCCGTTTATGTTGTCAATACTAAATAGTTTTAAACACTAGAATTAAAGCCCTTTCATCTAACGGTGCCATGTTGCTCTATTCGGTAGTTTGTAACTTCTTCTTCATTGATTCACATGATCAAATGAATGTCAGTTGCATTATCTCTCATTTCAGCCACTAGCTCTGATTCTTGAGCATTTATATATGCTTGCTCTGATCTTTCTATGAAGACATTGATAAATGTAACTACATAGTCCCGAATTTCTTAATGTGCATAAAAATAGTGTCACCAAATGACTTTTTGTAGCAGACTTGGAGGCAACAGTAGAGAGCTGTCTGAAATCTAAATCAAGGTTTAATCTTGAAGTTGATAAAAGCCAAGGCCACCTTAGAGAAATAAAAAAATGATTTCATATCGAAAAAACTTCTTCCAATTACTGACACATTTACAGTATGTTGTATAGGTTTAATTTTGCTACTTTTTCAGTATAACAAACAAGTGCAGAATTTTTCCGTGATAGAGTCCTCAGGAACCTGCCTCTTACCTTTACCTTAAGTACTTGACACATACATTGCTTTGAAAATGATAAGATGATAGCTTCTCCCTTCTCCGTCTTGGTAGATAAAAATGATATGGCTAATAGTAGTTGTTAAGAGTCTAGTCGCTTTGTATCTTCCCGTGTATATAGCAATGGAAAGAATGGATTAGCATAGAAGGATCTGACATCAAATTTATTGGGAAAAGGACTTAATTTATTGTTATTGTGGTTTGTTTTTTCATGTTCAACAGGTAGGACCTTCCAAGTTTTTCAGCTCAAAGTAGTTCGTAGTTTTTGACGTTGAATTACTAAGCATTCAAGATTGCAAGAGGAGGACCATTGGATTTTATTCTGATGTTGTGTGTAGCTGATCTTGGACGGTCTTCAGTCACGGGCTGACCCTTGATTACTCACTCAAATGCTGCATGACAACTAAACCCGAAGAGGAAGAACACCACTGAAGTGAATAACTAAGGCTATGTTTGATTGCACCACAATTCCATAGAAAATGGAAATCAAATTTCATCTTTCCAATTTTTTGTTGTTTGATTGGCAAAATTTTCCCTAGAATTCGAATTCCAACCTTTTATGCGATCTAAGCTAATTTTCATGTTTTCATTGAATTCCAATTCTCACCAAAATGGTGAGAATTGGAATTCTCGATTACTGTAGCACCTTTTTTCTTTTTCTTTTTTGTTTTTTTTGCTGCAAATTCTAAGAATTATTATAAAAAAAATATTTCCCTTTAAATGTCAATTTTCATGTAAAACAAACAATTTTATTTTATTTTATTTTATTTTATTTTTTTGTTAGCAATGGAAACAAATTCTAAGAATTATTGTAAAAAAATATTTTCATTTAAATGACAATTTTCATGTAAAACAAAGTTAAACGAACATCAAAAGATAAATAATTTTTTTGAAATTTTTGTTTTTTTTTTGTGTGTTGATAATGGAAACAAATTTCATCCTCAATACCAGTAAAATTTATCTCATTAATTGACAATTTTCATATAAAATAAAGCCAAACAGAGATCAAAAACACTTTTATTTCAACATTTTTCACATAGAAAATTATTCAAATCAAACACAATAATTTACAATTATCAGGAAAACAACTTTTAGACAATTCAATTCAATTCAATTTTATCTTTACAATCAAACGGACCCTAAATGAACTAGCAATGAGCCAATAAAACTACTAAACATGGAGTAGTATTTAAGACAAATTTTGTAATTAATTTTACTGCTCAAGCGTGGCAGGTCAGCCCGTCTAGATGAAGTAACGGCCCAAGTTTCCTTTCAATCTTAACACCTTGGCTAGTTTCACATCCGAGTCACTTGTATTTTATTCATCACTGTCTTAAGTGCAAGGTAACATTTATGGTCCGTTGAGCTTAGACGCTAACTAGTAGTCCATGAACGTCAATCGTGTGATACTGTCATCTTGTTGACTACTTGTAAAAATTATGTCCTTCCCTACTTTACAAAATAAAAACAATAAGCAAATTATTTTGATACCTTTTGACTATCCTACAATTGATGGTTTATTCATCCAATCAATTTTTTCTAAGGAAAAAAATGAATAATTTAGTTTCAAACGGGTAAATATGTATTGAATTTCACACTCAAAATAGGTCCAAAGGAAAATTATGGGAACATCAAATGAGTACTTGGAGAGCATGGCTTACAAGACAGTCAAAGTACAATTACCCATCTTGCGCCTTTAATTCTTCTGCTCTAAAAACGAAAACAAGTACCAAGAGAAAGATGCTAAGTAGTTTCGAGAAGGTATTCATTTACTTAAGTTAGGAACAAAGCAGAGATATGAGGATGATGAAAATAGCATAATTTTTGGATCAGTGACATACACATCTCTTACTTTGTAGCTCATGTTGTCACGTTTTGTATGTTAGTAAGAAGTGTGTGGACATTCTAATGCATTGTTGAGAATATTTACGAGCAATGTGTTGATTAAGATTCAAACTGTAATTATTGTGAATATATACGCCGATCATCTTATTTATAAATCTCACACGTTTTAACTCTTAAAAATCAATCATGTTACAAATACAGAATTTTTTGAATAGAAAATCTTATAGACAACATATGACACGACATCACTGAAAGATGAGAAAAAAAAGTCCAATAATATTTTGCTACATTACTGTCGGTACAAGTTTATACACCCTCTTATTGGACGGAACATTCATGATCACACCGAGGTTGTCGATCATCTAACTTTATTAGTAAGTATAAAAATTAGAATTCATTTGTTATGTTCATACTTTGTAATCATCGAATTTCAGTTCATTGACATTTTTCGTTTCGAAGTTATAAAAACACTAGATCGTTTTGACAAAAAGAAATTCAGATTGGAGGTGCAAATAATTGTACTCCAATAGTTGCCCTCTGTAAATGTTACAAATAATTGTTGATAATGTAGCATTAAGGTCCATTTCACCAAATTTTCCCCAAGGTAAATTTCTTACACTTGAACGCAACGATGAGAGACTTATTGTAGTCTGCGTGGAAGTGAGAGAGAGAGAGAGAGAAGCGTACAAGTGTTTTGAGGCTTTTGTTCTGCCTTCTTTGATATTCTTACCCTGAATTCTCTCCGACCCTTCGTCATCCCTGTCTTCTTTCTTCCTATATATACATATTTACATTTACATATTGCATATATATGTAAAGAATTGATTTTTACCTACATAGCTATATAGCTCTGTCTCAATCTATCTTTTGTTGCATCTGGGTATTATTGGGGTATGTTCAAGCTCCGTGAATGCGATTGTTCTCTTGAAAAGCAACGGAATTAATTGCAATACTGGATAATTAAAGGGTTTATTATAAGGCCCACGAGGTAAGAACGCTTAGGTTTGAAGTGAAATGCAATTTACTTTTACTCATCCTCGTGCATTTAAAATTATAGATTATGCTATCTCTAGCGTGAAATTTTATGAATTGTTTGAATATTGATATTCAATTCTTGTGTACAGATTTAGATTGTGGGTCTACTTAAGAATTCCACGGGATTTAGATTTTTTCGAGGCTAGAGGGTATTCATTTTAATCATTTCTGGAAGCTTTACTGGTTTCAGGCTTTTTGTTCATCAGTTCTTTTTTTCCCTTAAATATTGATTATTTGATGTGCAAAGGATGCTTGCTTATAGGATAGTTTGTGGTGGACCCCTAGTTATTTGAATGTTTTTGGTTTCAGGTAATAGGAAATTAGTCTAGAAGATCAGCCTCGTCTTTGAAATCAGTTATAGAGTGGAATCGATACTGCAATATTAGTTTCTGGTTTTCATGGTTCATAAATCAAGTCGAAGGTCAGTGCTTTGAAGATAGTTTATCAGGCTGCTAACATACATTAGCTTTACTACTGAGTTCAGAGTTGTGGTGCTGGGCATCATTTCTGGCTTAGAAATCTTGGTGTAGTAATAGTTTTTGTGCCTAAACCGTTGAAGTATGACTAGAAGGGTGCGGAGGAGGGTTGCAAGGAGGGGCAACGAGAAAGTGGATTGCCTGGAGATTGATGAGAATTTGAGTTTGGACAAGAAAGGGGTACTTGATTGGATCAGGTTACCTGATGATACAGTAATTCAGCTATTTTCATTTCTGAACTATCGTGACCGAGCTAGCCTGTCATCAACCTGTCGCTCATGGAGGATTCTAGGTAAATCTCCATGTTTGTGGGAGGCATTGGATCTGCGGCCCCACAAGTGTGACACTGCTGCTGCTGCTTCACTTGCCCCTCGGTGCCAGAATCTTCAGAAGCTTCGGTTCCGTGGTCTTGAATCTGCCAATGCTATTATAAATCTTCGAGCTAGGAATTTACGTGAGGTTAGTGGTGACTGTTGCAAGAAAATGACTGATGCTACCCTCTCCGTGCTTGCAGCCCGACATGAAGCATTAGAGTGCCTTCAGATTGGGCCAGATTTCTGTGAAAGGATAAGCAGTGATGCAGTTAAAGCAGTGGCAATTTGTTGTAGACATCTGCAGAAACTTCGGCTCTCAGGTATTCATGAAGTATATGCAGATGCTATCAATGCTTTGGCAAATCATTGTCCAAATTTAATAGAGATTGGATTCATTGACTGTCGGAAGGTTGACGAGACTGCCCTGGGTAATGTTGGATCAGTTTGCTTCCTCTCAGTTGCCGGTACGACTAATATTAAGTGGAATATAGTTTTACAGCCTTGGAGTAAGCTGCCTCACTTGACAGGCTTGGATGTTTCTAGGACTGATATCACCGCCAGTACTGTTTTAAGATTGTTTTCATCCTTCCGTAGTCTGAAGGTTTTGAGTGCCTTGAGTTGTCCAGCACTTGAGAATGATGCCACTTTTGTTTCCAACAACAATCACAAAGGTAAAGTGTTGCTTGCTGTCTTCACGGACATTCTTAAAGGAGTAGCTGCCTTATCTGCCGATACTACAGAGGATGAGAGAAATGTTTTCTTGAATTGGAGAAAGGTTAAAACCAAGGATAGGGAATCAGAGGAGATCATGAATTGGCTGGAATGGATCCTTTCTCATTCGCTTCTACGTGTTTCTGAGGGCAATCCACCAGGTTTAGATAATTTCTGGCTCAACCAAGGCTCAACTTTGTTGCTAAGTTTCATACATAGTGCCCAGGAGGAAGTTCAAGAAAGGGCGGCCACAGCTCTTGCAACATTTGTTGTCATTGATGATGAAAATGCTAGTATAGACACTGGAAGGGCCGAAGCAGTTATGAGAGATGGTGGCATACGCCTTCTCCTTAATCTTGCTAGGTCATGGCGGGAGGGTCTTCAGTCAGAAGCTGCTAAGGTAAGATGTCTACTACTATTGCTATTGTAACTTGTAAGCTAGCAGGCTTATTTCTTATGTTCACATTGCTCGAACACTGATTGGTCCCTGTTGTTCACCTTTTCTAGTAACTTTTTCCTTACTCTTGTTTATCCGAAAGTTAAAATAATAATTAATCAATATTCAGCAGATCATCAAGCTTTATCATTACTTACAGTGGGCAAAACTCGATTCATATTTTTTCTTAAATATGTAGGCCATTGCAAACCTGTCGGTGAATGCTAATGTTGCAAAAGCTGTGGCAGAGGAAGGAGGGATCAGTATTCTTGCGAATCTTGCCAGGTCTGTCAATAAATTAGTTGCAGAAGAGGCTGCCGGAGGACTGTGGAATCTTTCTGTTGGTGAAGAGCACAAGGTTGTTTTTTTGTTATTTTACATTTTCATACGATTTCCTGCTTTATTTTTAAAATTTGATAGTTCAGATTTCTTCCAGGGTGCTATTGCTGAAGCTGGTGGTGTAAAGGCTTTAGTTGATCTCATCTTCAAATGGTCAGGGTCCACTGGTGGTGAAGGAGTTTTGGTATGAGCTAGATGCGTTTAAGTTCCTGTTTGTAACTTTTACCTGTGTTGTGTGCTATAAAAGCAGATCCTTTCAAAAGTGAGTTATTTTATTGGTGCTCAAGGGGGCTGAGTTTGGTTCTTTGTGTGTTTCAGGAACGTGCTGCTGGAGCATTGGCAAATTTGGCAGCAGATGATAAATGCAGCATGGAAGTTGCTTCAGTGGGTGGTGTCCGTGCTTTGGTGACACTTGCTCGAAATTGCAAGTTTGAAGGAGTGCAAGAGCAGGTAGTATTAAAATAGAGTTTTAAAGATTGAGTATCTCATACGTGTTAACCACCATGATTTTGAGAGTCTGTTTTACTATCTCGTAGTTAGGACAACATGGTCAGATAGCAAGGGCAGGAAGCTTCAAAATACAGTAGGAAAAAATGCTTATTTCTTATGTGTTAACCATCATGATTTTATCAGTGCTAATAGTAGTTAGGACTTAAATTGATAATGGTTCCATGCTAGAATTGATTCAATAATCAGGATGCTAGGATCAGGTTGTCAGAAGCCACCAGAATATACGCCCATCATTTCATGTGCTATATCCATGCTGCTTTTTCAAAGGTTCATCATTAATTTTGTTTTTGGATGTGTCATCTTTTGCTGTTTACTTGCATGAATGTTCTACTCTGTACATCTGTCACTATACGTCTTTTCCTAAATAAGATGCTAGTTTCAATGTGAGAATTTATAATTACACTCTGGACAAACTGTTTTGAAGAAATTAGGTCGTGGGAGTAGCTGTCTAAGTTCTCTGTCATATGGTGCACAAGAGCATAAATTATTAAATTGTATTTATTTGCATTAATCATTAAATTTGCACAACTGACCATGCATATTTTCTTATGTGCTTTTCAGAGGGCTATTTCTTGTATTATGTTGGCCAATCTTTAACCTCTACACTATTTGAAGCAATTGTTATAATATTTTCAATGCATATTCGCTACATATCGTATTCATTCTCTTGTACTAGTGTGAAAGGGTATTGCAAATCAGTTCTTTACTAGATGCTACAACATGGGTTTTTTACCTTCAGTTGCTCTTCAATTTGTAAAGATGTTCATATGGAAGCAAAATTGTATCCAGCTTCTGACTAATGTCCCATGAGATTATTATCCAGGCAGCTCGTGCCTTGGCAAATTTGGCTGCCCATGGAGATAGCAATGGTAACAATGCTGCTGTTGGACAAGAGGCAGGATCTCTTGAAGCTCTTGTACAACTCATCCGCTCTCCTCATGATGGTGTTAGGTTGTGTATTTTGCTGTTGTCTTGGGCAATTTCTATGTTTTTTGGGAGAATATTTGTGGCCTGTAAGAAAGAAAATATAATGCCATTATTCGCTGATGTGTAGGCAAGAAGCTGCTGGTGCATTATGGAATTTATCCTTTGATGACAGAAATCGAGAAGCCATTGCAGGAGCTGGTGGCGTTGAGGCATTGGTATGGCAGTCTTCTTCTTGATCTTAAATTGTCTTTGTGACAACATCTGTAGCTAACATGTTATGCTTCATAATTAAAATTAGTTTACAAAAAATTATAAGATGTCTTGAAACAACTTGTGAGTTTTATAGAATTCAAAAATATCTGAAAATCATAAAATTCATCAAGAAGGCATAAAAGTTCGTTACAGAATTGTGCTTAGGCGCTGTGGGTTTAAACTTACAACCACTTTCTGGAAACAATAATAAAATTTGGTCAGCTTTCACTGTTGCTTCTGCACGTTCACATGATGGTGAGTTATCTGAATTATGACCCATTTACGCTTTTTCCCTTCAAGTAGTCCTAAAAAAAAATATATATATATAACAAGAGGAGATATTGACCATTCATTGGAGTTGTTATATACATGTTGTATTCTACTTGAAGTAATTCAACATGCTGTAAGGTTAAGTAGTTATCACTTTTGTTGGTTTGGTGCTTAGTGTAGCATGCGGTGATTGGGTAAGATCTTCCTCTTCTACAATCGGGTTTCTACTGTTCCTGAAAACCTTACATTATAGTACTTTATAAGAGTCCAGTATCAGTAATTGTTATGGAGATTGAATAAATCCGCACAGGCCGTGTGATAACTTTTTATTTTTACACAAGACTACAAGTTTCAAGTTTTTGTTTTGTCTTCTGTTTTCTTTTCTAGTGCAGTATATGTATTTAATTCATGTTCTTTTCAGTAAGGTTTCCACTGTCAGCTCGAACGATGGACTTCTGAGAAATGGGTAGAAACTATCCGAAAAATCCAACCATATGTATATGCATGCACGCATGAGCTTGTGCTATCTATCTATAAGGCTATTTAATATATATTTGCATTTATAAGTTTATTATCCTTTCATATTTGCATGCATGCAGTTGGGCTGCGATGCGGCTGTTCTATCTGCCAGACTTCATATTGCTGGTGGTCATATCAATATTATATTTCTAAATTAGTCTGTGGAAATGATTTTGAAATCCTTCCATAAATTCAGCTGTTTTGCTTTTGAGTGCATTGAACCATCTTTATTTTCTGCCTGCCTTAGGAGACTGTCTAATTTTAACCAAGGGCTTCTTTGAAACTCCACAAAATAAAATAAACTGAAAAGACCAATAGAATACAACATGCATTATATGAGCCAGTCACTGTGACAATGTGTATGCCTATATTTCCTTGTTAAGTTTTCACAATTCAAGTGCACCTATGTGTATGTGATTTTGCATGTACATGCATGCACTGGAAAAGTGGGTTAAAGATTTTGGTCCCCTTGTAATTTTCACTCTTTACTTCTTGGGGAAACAAAGTTTTCAGTCTTGTGGTTGCATGCATATATTATTTGCCACTCCCATCTCTATGCTTGTGCCAAGCATTATATGCTTGATTGCTTGTGGATTTGCCTGAATCACTCTTCCCTGCAAGTTGTCGCTGTCTATTAGTAGACATAATAACCTACAGGCAGGATGCCACAAACCAAACCTAAAGATCTGTTTGAGAACTTCAGAAATGGGCTAATTGTTTTTTGGACCAATTTGATGGGGCAGATTATCTAAGCATGTATAATTGTTCTTTGAACTAATGTCACGAGGTAAGTTATTAGGTGAAGAAAACGAGATTGAGAGAAAATTCTTATTCTTCAATATATCAAAAAATATTGATTACAGTCAGTATATATACACAGGATGAGTAATAAAAAAAGGAAACTAATCTTCTAAAATTGGAATAAAATTATTCTACCAAAAACTACAAGATTATAATCACTGATTGACTATAATTACTACATCTTGTCCCCTTTCCATACTTGGACCTTTTCTACACTCCCCCTCAAGTTGCAACTGTAGATGTTGATCATGTTCAACTTGCTAATAAGGTCGTCAAATGTTGGTCTGGGTAACCCTTTTGTAAATAAATCTGCGATTTGTTCTTTTGTAGGAATGTATGTCATACAAATGATCCTATCGTCCACCTTTTTTTTGATAAAATGTCTGTCCACTTCCACGTGTTTTGTTCTATCGTGTTGTACTGGATTGAGAGATGTTAATAGCTGCTTTATTATCACAATAGAGTTTGATTGGAAACTCTACTCCGACTTTTAGTTCCTCCAAGAGTTTCTTTATCCAAAATCCTTCACATATTCCTTGTGCAACGGCTCTAAATTCAGCTTCAACACTGCTTTTTGCTATCACATTTTGTTTCTTACTTCTCCAAGTTGTCATATTTCCCCACACAAATGTGCAGTAGCCAGTAGTTGATTTTCTGTCTTCTATGGATCCAGCCCAATCTGCATCTATGAATATTTCTACTCCTTTCTTTTGATGTTTTCCAAAGAATAGACCTTTTCCAGAAGTTCCTTTTAGATATTTGAGAATTTTATATGCTGCTTCCAGACGAACCTCTTTAGGAGAGTGCATATGCCGACTGACCATGCTGACGGCGAAAGCAATATTAGATCTAGTGTGTGAGAGCTAGATCAATTTACCGACTAATCTTTGATACCTGTCTGTTTCCACGGGTTTTCCAGTGTCCTTTTTCACTTTTCCAGCCTCAATAAGTGTATCACTTGGTTTGCATCTTAACATACCTGTTTCAGTTAGCAGATCAAGAATATATTTTCGTTGGGAAACACTGATACCTTTTTTTGATCTTGCAATTTCCATTCCTAGGAAATATCGCATTTGTTCAAGGTCTTTTACCTCAAATTCAGTTGCTAGGCACTTCTTTAATCTTTCTATTTTAGCTTTGTTGTCCCTTATTAGAATGATATCATCCACATAAACAATTAAGATAGTCTTTGCTCCATTTCCAGATTGATGGTGAAACATGGTGTAATCCGACTGCCCTTGTTGATATCCTTGAGTTTTCAGTACCTTTGCAAATCATCAAACCACGCTTTAGGTGACTGTTTTAGTTCATATTAGGATTTCTTGATTTTACACACTCGATTTTCGTCATTTAACTTGTTGAAACCTGGTGGTATTGTCATGAAAACTTCTTCTTCTAGTTCCCCATTAAGAAATGCATTCTTGATGTCTAACTGTTGAAGTGACCGGTTTAAATTCACTGCTAACGATAGGAGAACTTGGATTGTATTTAATATTGCCACTGGTGCAAATGTTTTTGTGTAGTCAATGCCTTATGTTTGAGTATATCCTTTGGCAACCAAATGAGATTTGTAACGTTTTATTGTCCCGTCTGTCTTGTACTTCACAGTGAAAACCCATTTGCAGCCTACAGGTTTCTTGCCTTTTAGCAGGTTTACTACCTCCCACGTTCCATTTTTCTTTAAAGCTTTTATTTCCTCGATTACCGCCTCTCTCCATTTGGGTGACTCCAGAGCTTCCTGAATGTTTCTTGGAATTTCTATTTTGTCAAGATTAGTAGTAAATGCACGAAATTCTGTAGATAGAGCACTATATGATATAAATTTTGAAATAGGATGTAAAGTACATGATCTGGTTTGTTTTCTAAGAGCAATAGGTAGATCATCACTTGGATTGTTGAAAGGATCTTTGTCAGTTCCTATCACCGGTTCCGACTCTCTTTTAGTTGTGAGGGTTTCATTACACTTTGATTTAGGCCTTTGTGAGTCCTTATCACTTTGCTTTTCTCCATTTCCTCCTGAATTCAAGTTTTCTTCTGTATATGGCACACTTGGAGGATTAGTATATGTGAGGTCAGATGGGAAGAGATCAAAGTCCAAGAATTCCTAATCGGAGAGCCGATCTTCGTTCAAGTTCTCCCTCTAAAGAGAAGGCTTCGGGAAGTAAGGCGTGGTTTCAAAAAAGGTGACATCGAGACTCACGAGAACCCGTTTCCCTAAAGGATCATAACATTTATAACCTTTTTGAGTAGGAAAGTACCCAATAAACACGCATTTAATGGCACGTGGTTCAAGTTTATTTCGGTGTTGGGAGTGAATGTGTACAAATGCAGTACTGCCAAACACTTTTAAGGGTAGATTTGAATTAAGATGGGATGTAGGGAAGCATTTTTGGAGTTATTTTAAAGGTGAGTCGAATGAGAGGGTTTGACTGGGTAGTCGATTTATTAGATAAGTAGATGTTAGAATTGTATCTCCCCAGAATGCTTTTGGAATATTCATTGTAAACATTAAGGCACGAGCTACTTCTAGTATGTGCTTGTTTTTTCGTTCAGCAACTCCATTTTGTTAGGGGGTATGGACACATGAACTTTGGTGGACTATTCCATATTTTTTTAAATAGTCTTGCAAAGCAGTGTTGAAATATTCTGTGCCGTTGTCAGTGCAAAGAATTTGAAGTTGTGTTTGAAATTGTGTCAGGATTATGGAGTGAAAGTTCATAAATACTGATCGAACATCAATTTTTTGTTTTAGTAGATAAACCAAACAGACTCGAGTGTGATCGTCGATTAATGTGACAAACCACTTTGTTTGGGTACGGTTAGGGATGCGGGAAGGTCCCCATAGATCACTGTGAATCATAGTAAATGGTTTGGATGATTTGTACATTGATTTCGGAAAAGATGTACGCTGATGTTTTGCAAAGTCACAATTTTGACATTGAAACTCAATAGGTGTTTTATTCATGAAAATTGAAGGACAAACATGTTTTAAATATTGTAAGCTAGGATGACCTATTCTATTGTGCCATAACAAGATTTCACTATCTCTAAAGGTAGATGTACATTGTAAAAGTTCACCTAGTGAACTCACATCGGCTTCCTTGAAGTAGTATAGTGTCTCGCATTCTTTAGCACCGCCAATCGTTTTCCCCGTTGAAAGGTCCTGAAAGACACAATAAGATGGAAAGAAATTAGAAGAGCAGTTGGAATTTTTTGTTACTTGACTGACAGATAATAAGTTACAAGACAAATTTGGAACATGAAGATCAGAATCCAATGTTAAGGACTCAGATATTCGAATACTCCCTTTTCCTGCAACAGATGAGAGTGAGTCATCTGCAATTTTAACACGAATGTTGCCAGAACAAGTTGAGTATGAATTGAATCGATGATACGAATCCATCATATGATCGGATGCTCCGCAATCAATAATCCAAGCATTTTTATATTTTGAAGTATTTAAGGCTCTAGGAAAGATACCTTTGTGGGCTAGTGAGCTAGAGGGACCTTTAGGAGAAGACTGACTGGAGGTTTGAAAACTCGTAAATAGTTGATAGAGTTGTTCCAGTTGCTCGGAATTAAATGTATTGTTTGCAGTTGGATTGTTTTTCGTTTCAACATGATATCCCCGCCTCCTCGAGTTTTGCTTAGGTCTCCAATCATTTGGCTTCCCATTAATTTCCTAGCACGTATCTATTTTATAACCCGACTTACGACAGTGCTCGCACCAAGGACGGCCCCGTTGTTTTTGGGTTGACTCATTTACAATTCCTTTTGAAAAGCCCAAACCATCACTTCCATTTGGAGGCCCATTAATATGTTCAAGTTCTGGCCCAATATTGGCCCATTACGTTTATGGCTTCCTGGCCCAGAAGATGTAATTTTTGGAGGTCCATTTCTCTTCCCAGCTAGGGCCGAAACTTCTCCAGAAACCTCCCTCATCATCACCTGCCAGCGAGCCTCTTTGCGACGCACTTCTGCAAAAACCTCTCGAGTGGATGGTAATGGGCAGCGTCCCAGAATTCGGCCTCAGACTTCGTCGAGTTCGCAATTCAGGCCGGTGAGAAATTCATAGACCCTTTCGTTTTCTTGCTTCTTCTTGTACAAGGTGATGTCGTTGGGACACTTCCATTCTTCTTCACTACAGAGGTCGAGGTCTTGCCAAAGAGATGTCATTTCCACGAAATATTCTGTAACATCTCTTGTCCCTTGTTTGGTCTGCCACAAGCGGGTTTTTAGTTCAAAGATTTGTGAAGCATTTCCGGCTTCAGAGTAGGTGTCTTTTACCGCATCCCATACATCCTTTGCTGGAAGAAGAAACAGATAGGTTTTCCCTATAGAGGGCTTCATCGAGTTCAGTAGCCAGGCAATTACCATAGAGTTTTCAGAGTGCCATTGTTGCTGCAAGGCTGTGTCGGCCGGTTTTTCGTCTCGCCGGTTAGGTAGCCCAGCTTTTCTTTTCCATCAATCACCAATTTTATCGACTGGGCCCATTCACGGTAGTTTTTCCTGTTTAATTTTTCAATAGTAAGCTGAAACGAGGAATTCTCGAATGCATTCTATTGAGGAATTACCCTGTGTTTCGACGCTTGACATTGTAGACGTAGAACTGTCGGCAAGGAATTCCGCCATAGTTTTCTAGATGAGAGCCCCTGGCTCTAATACCGTGAAGAAAACGAGATTGAGAGAAAATTCTTATTCTTCAATATATCAAAAAATATTGATTACAGTCAGTATATATACACAAGATGAGTAATAAAAAAAGGAAACTAATCTTCTAAAATAGGAATAAAATTATTCTACCAAAAACTACAAGATTATAATCACTAATTGACTATAATTATTGTCAGTAGAATATAATAATATATAGCATCAATATTTCTCTACGATAGTTTTCCAATAGTGTAAGATTATTTTCCTTTAATAATTGATTGTGTAATAATACACAATCTTTCCTTTTAAAGTTATTTTCTTTTAGGTTTATTTGTAGCCCTATAAATAGGGTCTTCTCCTTTGTAATATTCAGAATAGTTTATTATTTTGACATGGTATCAAACTTGTAAGTTTTTTGTTCCCCGGCAAGCGGTCAGTCAAATTTTCTTCTTGTCCAGATTCTTGGTATTATGAGTTAACCTAATAACTACAATTACGTTATCCTCAATTGCTCTTCGTGATTTCACCACCATCCATCCCACTAATATTTCTAATTTTCTGGCAAAACCCTCGAGCCTAAGTCAACTATCGCCTCTGCCGTTTCCGATTCCTCCACTTCCGTTGCCTTCCGCTATGATGGAAGCTTCTTTTTGCTGGAGATTTGACTGGGACTGTATATGTCTTTGGTATGAAGCAGTGAAGCCGGCAAAGAGCTGGACGCTCGATACAAAACCTCCAAAGAACTGTGTCAGAGGAAGGAGAAAGTGTATAGAACTGTTCGAGGGTCTCAAACTCCAATTTGAACTGAAGAACAAGACATCATTCTTGTGAACAGATTTGTTCTCCAATTCTGAAATCTGGATTTGACAAAAGGGGTTTTTGTTCTCAATGAGATCAACATGAGTCATCAGCATTCTTCTACAGGCAGGTCGTGTCTCATGTTGCTAAAATTGTGGGCAGTAGGTTAATAGATTGTGGGTTCTGTTGCTGAATTGTGGGCTAGGGCAGCAACAATTAAATATAATATTTTTAGGCTGATTAAATCAATTTTTTGGGGCTTGCCACAATATAGTTAAGTTTGAGTTTGGGCTCTTAATCTCTTAAGTTGGGCTGTTTGTTTCGGTTAAATTTTTTTGGGTTTTTTCATAGTGTGGGCCTATTATATGGGTCACTGAGTTTGGGTATTAATAGGAGAGTTTAGTTCTATCTAATTGGGTTGTTTTTGTTCATTTGGGCTATCGAAAATTTATTCTCTTGGAGCTTAGTTGGGCTAGGTGTTTTAATATAGGATTTATGGGTTGTTTGTTCTTGTTGCATATTTTTGGGCCTGCTGGGTTAGTGGTTATTGGATCGATCAATAAGTTGGATCTTCAACAATAGGTGGGTTTTTCTGGACTTCTGTTGGGTTTTATATAATCAGAAATATAAGGTTTATGCTACATGAAAAGTGGGTTTTCTGAAGGTATTCTGGGAGATTTCTGGCTATAGTGAAGTTTGATTATTGCTACCTCTCGATTATGGTTATGATTTACAGTTTTTTTTTTTTTTTTTATATGTTCTTTTCAACTGCTGGTATCTAGTACTTGTTACTAGAATCTCAAATATTGGTTAAGACAGCCTCAGATGGCATTGGTATCCAAGTGGTTGGATTTTGAAGCTCAATTTTTTGCACATTTGGATACTTGTTCCTCTATGTCATGCAATAGGGGAATCATATTTGGAGATCAGAAATTTGAATTTGATGGAGATTAATTTTGCTTGTGGTAATTCGAGAAATAGGCTGTTTGGTGGGATTTCTTTCAATTGCAACATTTTGGTCAGCTATATATTGCTGAATTTTGGCCGGTGTATTGGCGTTTGAGCTTTCGTCGGAACACGGATTATGTGTTCGACTGAGTTCTCCCGACAGATAGAGCTTATTGTGTGGGTCGGCACATTTCGTGAATTTCGTTTGAAAATTCTTCTTGGGGAGTGAGTTCTCAGGAGTATCCTTGGAGTGGTTGAATCTTCGATTCTTTTTGGTCATAACTCAGTCTTTTAGGTGTGGGTTTCTTGTGGTTGTCCACAGTTGACAGAATTTTTGTCAACGTGCGACTTTTGTGGTGGTCAATGGTTGACATACTTTTTTGTCAACGTATGACCCTTCGGTGCATCTAGTGTGGTGCGAGTATTCGGCATTTTGGTGATGATTTGTTAGCGTCATCAGCTTCTGGTTGGACAATGATTCTTTGCTGGGAATCATATCGAGTCTTGAATCAGTTCTTGGGTTTGAAGTTCAGCAAAGTTGAGTTCTTGGTTTATGGGTTCTACGAAAACATTGACTTGACAGCGCATCTAGTTCATGATTGCCAATTGATGCTTTTGCCAGCATCAATTTGAGGGGGATGTCAGTAAAATATAATAATATATAGCGTCAATATTTCTCTACGATAGTTTTCCAATAGTGTAGGATTATTTTTCTTTAATGATTGATTGTGTAATAATTATACAATCTTTCCTTTTAAAGTTATTTCCTTTTAGATTTATTTGTAGCCCTATAAATAGGGTCTTCTCCTTTGTAATATTCAGAACAATTTATTATTTTGACAATTACTACATCTTGTCCCCTTTCCATACTCGGACCTTTTCTACAGTAAAACTCAAAGAATTTTAATAACGTACCGGATAACTAAAATAATAACCCACACTAGTGGATTGGGGCTATACATGTGGTTGTTGTATATGTCTGTGCCCAAAATGATGGGACCAACCTTTTCTATTGCACTTGCAAACCAAGTAATACTATTTCAAAGTTGCACTAGTTTTTGTTCCTCTCTGGACCAATGCAAAAATAGCTCAACTAAAGGAAACAATGTTGAACGGTGCCCAGTTTTCCTAGACACGGGACACCTCTCCCATCCCTCCTCCTCCCAACCAAAAAAGGGAAAATGAATGAGAAAAATGGAAGTGATTGGTTTTATATTATGTGGTAGTTGTTGTCATCAATGACAAAATTATAGAAAACTTTTTGTAAGTGAGGTGCAGCAGTAACTTATTTCATGGCTAATGCCTTTCCCATAATTTTTTACTCATTTGATTAAATTGAAAATGCCTTCTCTTAGTTAACAAGTTGCGCATCAGTTACATTACCTACCTAGTATATGAGCATAGGGCATGTCTCCTCTTAGCATCAGTTGGTTATGATATGGTTACATTATCTAGGAAACCTGGTATCCTTAGTTGCTCATGGAGAAAGAGAATGTGAGAAAGAAGTATATAGAAATTGACAAGGACATAATCCTTTCTGTAGCCCAGATAACATTGTGGGTTTAAAGTTAATTATCCCATGTTGTGTTATCAATTTTAAGCAGGTATTATTGATTATGTCACCGATTTCCTACATCACATTTCTATGAATTGAAGATAACTAACTATTCGAAAATGCAAAAAGTATTACTTTCATTAAGTCGTCAATGTAAATTGCTTGGCATAAGACAATTCTGCAAAACTGTCTCTTTCGTGCAAATTTTTTCACACCTTTTCTTTTGGTCAAGTGTTATTCTCCGATAATTGTCAAATATAAATTAGTTTTTAATTCTGGAAAAGAAAAACTTTGATGTACACACTGACAGTTCAATCTTATGTGGTTGTAGGTAGCTCTTGCACGGTCCTGCTCAAATGCTTCTCATGGCCTTCAGGAGAGGGCTGCTGGTGCTCTGTGGGGATTGTCTGTCTCGGAAGTTAATAGGTATGAATGAACATCGAGCCATAGACTTGATTGTTATTTGCATGATACTACTGCTGCTATTGTTGTTCCTAGCCTCCTAGTTGTTGTGATAATAAAATTCAAAACAAAAGCTTGCACTGCAGCGTTTAAGTTTTGAGACATTCTATGGGCTCAACTCTGTTAATGGACTTAAGAGTTAAATGACTTGAATGAATCCACATTGTAGCTTGAGATGCAATTCAGAGCCAATATCCTGCTCAATCATCTTGGTCCCAGTTGATGGACTTTGTATTTCCTCCAAGAGTAAATCAGTCGTCTGCCATATAGCATTTCTATCCCAATTCTGGGGTAGCCAAAGAGATCCCACAAGGAGTGGGTTGCTTAATAGAGCACCTTCCTGGATGTTCCCAGCCAAGATAATAGTTTTTACTCCTTAGGTTTTTCACACGATTCTCAACTCTTACAGGTAAAGCATTGTAGGGTTCTCATCAGTGCTACATCTGCGAGTAATGATGAAAAAGAGTGGTCTAGCTTTGAAACTATACATTCCCTGTCATCTCTTCCAAGGAAAATAATTGTATTACCGTTGTTGATCAGGGAAGTTAACCAATTAATTAAGAACATTCGGGGCTACTATCTGTTTTCCATTTGAATTAATTCTGTATTTGCCAATTATTTAAATTGAAGCAATGGATATTCTCATTCCTTGTTTTTCCTGTTGCTTGGAACACGTATCTTCTTTAAATCAATCCCATCACACTATCTTTCCTGAAACCATGTACTAAGTCTGTGGGCATAGGATTCTTATGTAAGATAATGCACTTCTAGAACAGTGCATAATGAGTATACTTCAGAGGATATGCTCGAAGCATGTTACATCATATCTTCAATTTAATTTTACAGCAGGAGTTTTATCGACTTCTGCACAAAAGTTTACTGCCTTTATTGTGATGAAAATCCAACTTTTAATTTTTCTTGATAACATGTTCTTTGTAAAAGAACCTACTGCTCATAGGCTTCAGTAATATTTCGAACAACTGATTAGTTCTTACTCTCTACTGATTCACACACTAATCATTATAACTAACATGCCCACTTGCATAAAAGCAATGGTGACAATTGATTGGCAGCTGCCTCTGATTTTCTATGTCTAATTGTTCCAAACTAAATAGACAGAAGAATATAAAAGATAATGTGGACTTGACCAGAAATTGTTTGACCATTTGGAGAATGGGGCTTTGTTTGATTCCCATTTTTTTCAAAATACATTTTTCTCTCTTTTTTTCAACCACACGTTCTTCATTAAAATAATATTACACATAAATTAAAAACTTTTCCTTATTTTTCAACCACAAATTTCCCATCAATCTACTATTCTAAAATACATTTTTTCATAAAAATGGGGTTCAAACACCCTCTGGATGAAATTTTCTTATCAGGGAGAACATAAAGAAAGGTAAATGCGGCACTTAAGATTTAAGAAAGAAGGATATAGTGGTATGTATTTATATCTGTTTATGTATCATCATATTCTTATCATATTATGTTCAATGATGACAGTTTTGAGCTCAGAGTTTTGTCAAGCGAGGTCTGCAGATGCTTTCACGTAGGGAAAATAAACTGCTTTAGCTTCACCTTTCTTTCATTACCAAAACAAAATACATACACAATTCTCTAAATGGAAAGACGAAACTTTTATAGCAAGAAAGAGTAAATCGTGAGAAACAATATTTAGCAGGTGTTCAGTTACTAATGATATTCCTACACATCAAATTGCCGCATCTGTGGGTAGGCTTGATTTAGACCAGTGAGTTTGCTGTTTGCAAACAGCTACCCACTTGTCCTTTTTTTTCATGTTCAATTAATTTGTAGATCGTGGTTGCCACTATCATTGTATAGGTTACATTTGCCCACCACCTAGAAATTTATGTATCACATATATGTTTCTTTTTTGATAGTATTGCGATTGGCCGTGAAGGAGGTGTGGCACCACTAATAGCATTGGCACGATCAGATGCCGAGGTAAACATTTTATTTGTGAATCTTCACTATTATCTTTTCATTTGTCTCTTGGCTTCTTGTTTGTGCAAACATTCTATGGTATTTGCTCTCTCATACATGACATCTGGTCATTTGTTTAGTTCTTAATCAACTTGAATTTAGTTTGCACTTGAATTTTAACAATGCCTGCTTTTGTTTATTTATTTTTAATCTAATATGATCTTGAAACTAATTCAATTGTTCTTTAATCAATGATTTCCTTCTTTTCATTCTGCAGGCCTCCGCAAAAATACCCTTAATGCCACTCTAAACTTTTTTGTGCAGAATCTTTGTTACTTTCTTTTTTTGCTTTGTGGACTGCTAAAATTCTTGTTTTCGAGTCATACTCTATTTATTTTTATTCATATCAGACTAGTTTAAACAAATCGATATCTTCCTCTTTTAACGAATTTAGTTACACTGTAGTGCTAATTAAGTTAATAGCGAAAGGAATCATTTTTAGCTTTGGTGTTTAAAAATAACAAAAAGTGATAAATTGATGGGTCATCCAATCACCAATTCATTTAACTTACTTTGTAATGCAAGCCCAGTTAATGGGTTATAACACTTCTCTTTTTTAATAAATATTAAGCAATAAATTATGTCGACTTGTAATTATACTGGAAGAACAAAAACAGGTATGACCTATTATATTATTTATTATAATATTAAAAAGGTTCTCTTCAAATATTCCTTTTATGTGCTCGATTCTTCCTGGATACTGCAAGAGGTTCTCTTCTATTTCTGTCAAGGATCAAAGTTCCAGGAAAGTTTGTTTCTTGCAGCAGTTTACAGTGGTTACCTAAATTTCATGGCTATTAACACCTTCCATCCAGAATTTGCTTGTAATTTTAGTGGGTTTGTTATTCATGGACTATATGTATCATAGTATACAGCTTCACGTATGAATAACTCTTTTCATCCTGAATGCACTGTTATGATGCTTGATATGCCACTTATTCTTGTAGATGTAGTCAAGATTTTCTTTTTAATAAAGTGGGATGTGGATTAATCTTTATGTATTTATCCACTTTCAGGATGTCCACGAGACTGCTGCAGGAGCTCTTTGGAATCTTGCTTTTAATCCTGGCAATGCTCTTCGTATTGTAGAGGAAGGAGGGGTTCCTACTCTAGTTCATCTCTGTTCTTCTTCTGTATCAAAAATGGCACGATTCATGTCTGCATTGGCACTGGCATACATGTTTGATGGAAGGTACCTGTACCTCTTCTTAATTCGGACATCTTTACTATTCACGTCTGTTTGTGCACTGGAATACATGGTGCCCGTATAAGATTTATCTACATCTGCTAAATTTGTTTATTTGCCATTAATGTATGCTGATGCTACAAAAAATAGGGAATCCATCTAAAGAGCCTAGTCAACAAAGTTTTAGTTTAAATGGCCCAGCTCTTTCAAGTTTAAGAGGCCTCAATTCGTGAAGAAAAATCTTAAATACTTCTAATTTAAAAAGGCAAAGGTCCATTTTGATGAGCATAACAAAACAACACTCTGCCATTTCATGAATGGTCCAAAACGGCAGTATGCCATTTTATGAAGAGCTTCGCTCTTCACAAAACCGCAGAGTGCTGTCTTGATAGCTCTTCCCAAAATGTTAAGAGCGTCATATTGATATCTATAACAAAACGTCGCACAACCGTTCTGAAAACCTAAACTGATTTATTCAAATCAAAAACTCTAAAAATTTTGTATAATTCAAAATAAAATGTAAAAAGAAATGAATAAATGCAATTAGAGTTTACCTTGGATTTAAAGTAAGTCGTTGAAGAAAGGAGATGCAACAATACTATTTAATTAATAATGTTACAAAGCAAGGTAATGAAGTTGGAAAATTAAAAGTTCTTTGTAGTGAACATGAAATGAGTGCAGAAGATAGAAGTTTGTATGTTTTTTTTATTTTGAAGTTCAAATGAGTGAAGAGGTATAAGTTTTGTGGAGTTTAATTCCCACCCAAAATTCAAAGAGAAAAATGAAGGGTTTGATCTTTGTTTTTATCTAAGGACATTTTAGACAAAACATTATTAGTTTTGGTCAAAGGCCATAATTATGAAGCATCAAACTAATGAACTAAATCCCAATTGAAAAATATTATTACACATCAAAACTTTCCTGGAAATCATTTGGTCATTATGCCTTGTAAAAGGTGAAAAATTTGTGTATGAAATCTTTCTCATTGCATTTACCATCTTCTCCAATGAGCTCGTCTGTTACAGTAATTGCATCCAATGGAAGTTCTTCCTTTTGCTCTACTGAACCAAATATCATGATGATATGTAGATGGGTCTACAAATAAAAATCCATAGGCCATTTTAGAAGTTGAATGGAAGAACAATGCTTCACGCTAAGACAGTCTCTCTCTTTGAAGTTCACTTTTGTCGTAGTGTGTCCATTCACCTTTATATCTATAGAATACACTATCTAGGAAAATTTTATATCTCCTGGGACTTGTCATATCTTTACAACTATGACTATTTCAATATGTATGCTAACTTTATGTTTCTGTAAACTTAATTGTTACCCAAGCCTGGTACTTAAAACATTATAAATCTGATTACCTGGAAAGTATTGACAAGTCCAGTGTTCCTTGGACCAATAATGTAGTCTGTCTTAATTCTAACCATTTGGAACTTACTTACCATTGAGTTCTTAATTCGCACCGGGTTTTCTGCCCCATCAAAGTTATAAGAACCAAACACAAATATTAACAAAGTGCATGCAGTAGAAGAGATGAGAAAAAAGAATTAGCTTCACTTTTATGGAGAAAAAGTATGAACAGTTTTAGTTTCTTTAGGTTTTTTTATTTTCGATAGTTAGAAAATGATTTTTACCTTAAATAGAAGAAAAAATGGTTTGCAGCTATCATTTTGTCAACTTCGAGTTTATCATTCAATATATGAAAAGTTCAGTCAAGATGGCTGTGAAGCTATTTGATGTTTAGGCCCCGTTTGTTTCTCATTTTTATCAAAATACCTTTTTCCCTCTTATTTTTAACCACACATTCTTCATTAAAATAATATTACACGTAAATCAAAAAAAATTTCTTATTTTTCATCCACACATTCTCCATCAATCTACCGTTCTAAAATTCATTTTTCCATAAATAGCCTCTTAATATTAATGGGAAAATTTGTGCATGGACATGGTGTCTAAGACACGGGTCCAAGAATGTTTTAATACATTCTACTCTGTTAAATGCAATTGGTAATTTAACATGCTAATGCTGCATGGCAGGATTCTCAGTTCAAGTGTCAGCCATCAATTATTGGTGTGTATAGTCTGTTCTGCACATTGTGGGTCATGTTGTAATTTTAATAACACAAATTCTTTGCTCGCTATCTGCTCTACTTTTTGGACAAGCAGATACTTCCATTCTAGACTAAGATTTGCATTTGAATTGGCATATTGAAGCTGTACAACACTTTATAATATGTTTGTTACGAGTTGGAGCGCCCAATACATTTTGGTAACAATTTCTTTTAGAGGTACATTATTTTCCTAAAGGACTATTAAATAGTTTCATGTGCACTGAGCGCAGATGCAAGGAATGGAGTGGATGCAGACTCAGTCCTTGGCATTAATGCTTGAGTGCCTTGATGTTTAATGCTTGAGTGCCTTGATGTTCAGACTGCTAGTTTCCTTTTGTTTGTATAGACATTGTTTGTATTGGATAGGTTCGAATACACATGACAATGTGGTGGCTTGTTATGGTGATGGAATTTATTCTTCTATTGCTGCTTCTTTTTCGGTGCCTTTTCTTTTGGAAAACTGGAGGCATTGAAAAATTGTGTGTTGTGTTGCAGAATGGATGAAATTGCCCTGACAGGGACATCCACAGAAAGCACTTCTAAGAGTGTAAGCCTTGACGGTGCTAGGAAAATGGCTTTAAAAAACATTGAAGCTTTTATCCTGACCTTTTCTGACCCACAAGCATTTTCTGCCGCTGCCGCATCATTAGCTCCTACAGCACTGACACAAGTGACAGAATCTGCTCGGATTCAAGAAGCTGGTCATCTAAGATGCAGGTTCCTCTCTCTCTCCCAAGTTGCAATTGCATCTTGTTTTACTAGTTGTAACATTTGCAATTTCCTCTTTAATTCATCACTGCCTTTACAAGAATTGCTGATAGGCAACTAGGAGTCTGGCACCATGAGAAATCAACTTGAGGCATTTATTTACCTATGTACTTTACCATTGAGTTTCAGAAATTCACTATATTCTAGTTTGCTGTTAAAAATGCGGATAGTAACATATTTCTTCATCATCAAAGCTGATTTTTGGGGAGTACGCTACCTTGATAAGTTCAATATTAGCAAAAGATGACTCATTTAACTATTCTAAATTGTATGGATTCTTATTTCCTGAGCACCGCCCTGCCCCCCCGCAGCTGGAATCTGACATGACATTTTTACCCTTCTCATATCGAATTCGGAAGCATTGAGTCAATCTTCTTCCTTATATATGTGTGTTGTGATTTTCACGAATCCCTGTAAAGTTGCAAGTCTTGCTGAATCCTACATATTCCACCCTTGCTGTGTGATCTAGTGAGCTTTTTGATCATATAAATAAGTGCGACTGTGTAAGCTGTTTTTGTCACGTGCTGAGGTTGATTTAAAACGAGAATTTTGTAAACTGACACATTTAGTTGATAAGCTCTAAGCAAAAATGATAAAAGCAATTTTAGGGGAGAAATTCTGGTTGTAAAAGGTGCTAAAGTTAAAGCGGATTGGTGGTTTATGTATTTGATGTATTACCATTTGCAAATAGATGCTGACATTCACCAGCCATGTTTCATGTATTCCCAGTGCTCAGTCCTGGATTCAAACGTATTGCTAAATACTTGTGTTTGTTCACACGGTAATCCCAAATCACAATACGCAAGTTTTTTTTCTCTCTGATTTTCTAACAAGTTACCTCTGTCCGAAAAGACGTAGGCATACATAATTTTATTCCCTTCTTAAAAGATCTGTTGTTTTATTCCTCATGTAACGTAAATTATAGTTTCCCTTAATTTTCTTGGGGGGTTTTTTGGCTTCATTGTCTAACCATTTATCTATTACGCTTCCAACTTCTGCTTGATGCATTTATTTTCCTCAGTGGGGCTGAGATTGGAAGATTTGTTGCAATGCTACGAAATCCTTCTGCTATACTAAAAGCATGCGCCGCGTTTGCTCTTCTTCAGGTAGATGATTCCTCTCTTTTTCTCAACATCGTCGCATACATTTTATGCTACACAATGATCTGAAACTGTACATTACTGATCTCTCTACATTTGGTTAACGCAAATCATTGCATTTATTGTAGTTTACCATCCCTGGTGGCCGGCATGCACAGCATCATGTAGGTCTTCTGCAGAATGCTGGAGCACCAAGGGTGCTGCGTGTGTCAGCAGCAGCAACAGGTGCTCCGCTGGGAGCCAAAATTTTTGCACGCATTGTTCTCCGAAATCTGGAGCAACATCACACGGGATCTTTGGTCTGACGAGTATCTGATAATCACAATTCCACAGGAATGGATGTTTGAGTGATCGAAAAAAATGGTACGGGAAACAGTCTCAATTTATCACTGTAGGTCCAATGGATTGCCTTTGAGCTTTCACCTTGTTGGTTTTCTTGCTCTATATAAGCTCTTCCTAAAGAGCTTGCAATTCTGCCACCAAATAAGATTGTTAGCATAGTTTGTGTGATTTTTTCTTCTACACTTTTCAATATTTCTCATTTCAGTTGTAAACATGACATTTGTGCATATGCTTTTACCTTGTGAAACTGGAACTGGAAACTTTCTGGGCTGCTACTGTTTTGATGTTAAGACTTGCATCACATTCTAGGTGCCTCGTTCGATGGCTTTTGCCAGCTTCTCACATGGGTTTCTTTGGGTGCAGATTTTTCTACATTTAATCATCGTGTTTTTAATACTTCTGCATTGCTTTAACCTCATATATAGTATATTTCTTTGAATCACGAGAAGTACAGAAAAAAAAATGAAAAAAAGAAAAAAATCATCTTCAAACAAGCAGATTTTTGTTTGTATAAACGGTACTTCAAACTTGGAACGAGCATGAGATAATTAATCATGGGTGGATTGGCTTTCATTGGACACTCGGTGAGTCAACCATGTACGGCATTAGATGACAGTGGCATAATAATATCATATTTTATGCTAAATTCACCGCACAATGGTCAATTTGATTTGTTATCGTGGTAATTAACATTTAGTTAATATGTTTATTGATGGGTGGATAGGAGAGATTGGTCGGGATAGATGAAAATTTTCAAAAAAATAAATTTAATTATATAATATATTTGTAATTCTCGACAAGTTATGGAACTTGGTTTGCAACTTTTTCATTTTTTTCCCCTTTGTTTTGTTTTATTTTAATTTATCTTTAAAAAAAAAAGAATTACAAATCCATCATTTAACGGGAAAAAAAATGGAGGAACGACAAGTCTTACTACATAATTGAAAGGTTGGCGATGAATTATATTAAAATATATGTATATATATATATATATATATATATATATATATATATATGAGAGAAATGAAAATATCCTTTCAAAGTAAAAATCTAGGGGATAGATTTTGATCTTTTAGGCTAAATCAATTTAATTTGTCCCTCTAAATGGATTAAGAATCTATACCATTTCACTACAAAAAAAAAAAAAAAAAAAAAAAAAACCGGAAAATTTTTTTTTTTTTTTTTTTTTTGCAGTGAAAATTCCCAAGTTGTTAATTGCAACTAGTCTCATTTATTAAAAAAAAAAAAATGCAAACAAGACCCAAATAAATAATCAAAATTTAAATGGTGGTATAAGTTAGTTTTTATATATCATTTTTAAAATTAAATCAAATAAATAATTTTTTTCACTATATTTTATTTCTTTTATTTATTATGTTGTCAACGTAGAGTTAGTTTTCACTTTCTATTTCATCTTCAATGAATTTATTAAATTTTTATGCTTGATTGTAGTAGGTATGACGAGATCAAGTTACATATTGAAGGGACAACTAATAATTATTTATTTGTTGATTATATGTATTGTAAGTATTATTTGATTTCGGTTATAAGTAGTGCAAAAATAAAAATTCTGCCAAATGGATCTCATCATGGCAAATATTGAAGGGCATGATGAATAAAAAATTAAACTCATTTTTCTATTTTAGTTTATTTTAGCTTAATTAGTATATCCAAATATAATATATTAAACATGTCATTAATTATAAGGATTCTTAGCACTCCATGAAATTCCCATTTTTAGAAGAATGAGAATGAAAAATATAATCGTTATGGAACCTACACGAGAGGGGGGAAGTTAAATATGATGATTTGATGTGATAAATAACGTTCATATTTTTCATTTTTCGGCCAAAGAATAGGAAACAAATTATTAATCTCTATATACATTGGTTTATGACACAAACATGACCTGAAGTCGAAGTTGAGGAAGAGATAAGGTTTGTCATAATTATTTATGGTCATCATTAAAATTTTCAATTAATTTTTTTTACTAATATTTATTTCATAATTGAGAAATTTCTTAAAAATTATTATTTTTAAGCTGGTCATTAATGTTTTAATTTTTTTCAAGTTTCCCATGTTTTCTACCTTTTTTTCCCGAAACTCGTCTTAAAGATAAAATTTGGATCAGAACATCAATATTAGCACTGAGAAACATGGCTCATAATTAAGAAAACTGAGGCACTTTAAATGCATGCTTGTAAGTGCATATGAATTGGTTATAAATTTACAAAACATAGTAATAAAGGAATTCAAAAAAGAAGAAAAGAGGATTTATTTTAGGGATAATTGTAGTAGTGGTCCCAAATCTTTACTTTGTGTCATCCACAGTCCCAAACTTTTCAAAAATTAGCACATGGCATCCAAATGGATGATTTCAGTTAATTTCACTGTTAGTTGACCTAATAAATTGACTTCAACCAATTTTAAATGGGTAAAATTGTAACTTTATATTAAAATTTTAAAACTGAAAAAAAAGTTAAAAAAATCAAAATCGTGTTCGTCTTCTCCTTCCCATACCACTTCCGCAGCTCTCCTCCACTGCCTTTGTCACCTTTCCCACCAACATCTCCTTCCTAATTCTTCTCTCATCTTTCTCACACGTCAACAAACTCATTTTTCATAAGCTCATTGTCATCATCATCTTCGTCACCCTCTTCGCCAATTTCCATCTCCTCTTCTTCCATCGGCATTACCTCCCAATACAGGGCTGGCTATGATATTTTGGGGGCCTTATACCAATTTCAAATCGGTGCCCTATATTTTGAGTCTCCTTATATAGAGTTTTAGCCTTTTTGATGGAGATTAAGCTCTTGTTAGGGTTTCATTTTTCACCAAAATACATTCTTCAACAATAATTTGACACTATTTCAACCATACATTTCTCAATAAAATAATATTACGTGCAAACTTAAAACTTTTCCTTATTTTTAACCACATATTTTCATCGTAACACTATTTCAAAATACATTTTGTGAGAAAAATGCGGCTCAAACAACCCTAAATAATTTTTTTAGTAGATTTTGATAGATGTAGATAAAATATGTGAATTTAAAGTTTTGTTGGAATCCATAAAATATGTGGATAAAATTAATTGTTGATTTTGATTTAGATTAAAATTTAGATTTAATCGATACCAAACAAGGACTTAATATAATTATAAAGAATCTAATACAGACGACTAAGCTCCAAAATTTCAAAAGAAAATTGACAAAATATCAAATTTCAACCAACAATACAAATTACAAGTAAAGTTTGACAAACGGAACTACAATGAAATGGCAAAGGGGTATGCTCATTTGTATGATTATTTTTTAACTGCAACTATTTCAAAAAAAAAAAAAAAAAGATTATACATTTGAGTGATTTATGTACAAAATTAGAGAATGTGACTGCAAAAGATAGTATAACAAAATAATGAAAATGATTATCAAATACGAATGAACTTCTAATTTTATATTAATTTATAAAAAATTAACTTAAAATAAAAAGTATTTGTATGAACAAGGACAAATAATTATTAAATTCAAAGTACTTTCAGCAAATATCTAAAAATATTATTATTAAGAGATTAAAACAAACATTATAATAACAATCTATGTACTCTGTAATATATGTTTTGAAGATGAGAGAGAAAGAAAGAAACTTATAAAGTTGTAACAATGGCAGCGAGATCAAACCAAATTGCATTGGATCTTCAAAATTTTAATTCAAATTGAAATAATTTATATCTTATTAGGTTGAAAAACTAAATAGTGAGTGATTGTTGGACATAGAATTTGAAAAGACAAAGTGACTTTTTGTTTGGTTAAAAAAAGAAAATAAATGTTTGGAAGATAAAGTATCAACTTAATTATAAATACGGAAATTAATGTTTGTGATAAATAAAGGAAAGTGATAAGTTTGTTGTCATATATATATATATTTGAAAGGTTTTTATATTTTCAATTTTTATTAATTTCTTATGTTTGCAAACAATAATTCTATTTTTCAAAATTTCATAAATATAATTTTTATTTTTTTTCAGCCAACTAATTAATTTTAAATAATTTGGAACTCTGACCAAAGCAGGATCTTAGGTGATTGTCTATAGGGAAAAATTCATATGTCAGGTGTATTGTTTACACCAATTCACAAATCAGGTACAAAGTTTAAAAATTCGAAATTCAGGTTTATGTATAATTAATTGAAAATTTTATGAATTAAATATAATAAAGCCACGGTTACACGATTAATTGTCACATATTTACTTATTGGTCACATATCATCGGATTAATTGGTTACATATTATTTTGAGGTCACAAATCAAAAATTTTGTAGGTCACGGATTATTTCGTGGTCACAGATAAAAAAATTACAAGTCACAGGATCACATATGTTTAAATTTATTGGTCACATATTCTAAATAGTTGGTCACGTGCACCAAATATCCTACCACCGATCTCGATCCAACACCAATCTTGATCACAAATCAGCACCGCCACCACCACACAAAACACCGAGGACAGACATACACAGCCAAGTCAAAACAGCAGCTGACTTGACTTTATTCTATGAAGTAAACCTCCTACCAATATTCCATATGATATATAGTTATAATTTAAGTAGTCGGCATAGAACTGGAGATTGAACAGTGATAAAGTCTATAAATTTTGAGTTTCTGGTGGATTCTTAAGAGACAAATAAAAAATTTAGGAAACCCACTTTCTTGGTGATGAAGAGAATGATACTGGAGCCTCAATTATCTGTAACACGTGACCACCATTTGTTCATTTTGTTCAAAAAACTGTTTAAACTGGAACTTATACACCTTTTAGCATTTGGAGGAGCTACTTTTTCGTCAATTGTTCCAAATATTGGAAATTACTATGTTCTTACAATAGTGGTTCGAGAGAGACAACATAGTCTGTGTTCAATTACTACCAGTTCACCACCACAGCCGCCACCACAAAACCTCCATCACCACCACCACCACACAAAACACCGTCCAAAGCCACAAAATCGCCACCAACCTAACCTAATTCTGCTTCATGCACGGTGGTACAATGCTTCTGCTTCGCGCTGACTGGGGAGGTTTGCTTTGCGGCGACGCTGACTGGTGGAGGTTTGTTTCACGTTGCAAATCACGGTGATTCGCTAAGGCAAAAGTGCTGCGCGGCAGGAGATTTGCTTCGTGGCTGCGCTGGTATAATGCTTCTACTTCACCATGTCCTCTTCATTACAGCTTGTGCCGCCCAAAATCGGGGTCGGAGATCTGAAAGCGCCGCTCATATCAGGGCCAACGACACTAATGTCGAGAGAGAAGAGAGATTGGTAGAAGAGAAGCGACTATGTGTGTTTAGAGAGAGAGAGAGAGAAGAGAGACGGGGGGAAATGGGTTTAAAATTATAGTTTGAAATCTGATTTATGAATAATAAAATTTGACCCTTGATTTTTGAATTCTAATCTTTAAACACTTGTAATTTTGTAATTTCCTCTTGTCTATACTCAAGATGCCACTGTCCCAATAAAATAGACAACCTTCTTCTGGTCTCTTCCCAAGGCCCAATCCCGATACTTCCCCCTCTGACACCACCTCCACTCATTCTCTTAGACTTCATCGCTAACATCGCCTACACCGAACAAAACAAGCCAGTAATACACAATATTTACAGTTAATTCTTGGCGGATGTCAGCCAAAAACTTGTTCAATTGATTCCTAAATTTGTAAATTTACAGATTATTACACTGGTGGAGCTGGTGACGGCAACTAAAGTTTAACCTCCGTCGTGAACGATACAAGTTTGGAATAAGCTAATGAGCTGGCTCGCCTTCTTCTTCTTGATCTTCTTTTAGATCCTCGAGGCACCCTTAGGTTCTCTCTCGTGTTTGCGTACGCCATAACTCCTTCCACTTTTCAACTCGTCAAGCGTCTTCGCAGTTCAAGGCTTTATCGATAGTTGAGTTGTCTGAGTTTCAAGAAGTATCCAAAGAGACTCTGTTTACACCTCCCGTCGTTGTCCCAATCACTAATGCTACAGGACGATTGACAGTTGCTTCACCTTTTGAGAAGATGAATAGGGGTTTTGATTTCTTGTTTCTTGTTTTTTGTCTTTTTTATTTTTTATATTTAAATTCAAAGTTACCATTTTAGCCCTTCTAAAATTGGTCAAAATCAATTTATTGAGTCAATCAATGATCAAATTAACAAAAATAATCTATTTGGACCCCTAGTTGCTAATTTTTGAAAGATTTGAAATTATAGTTGGTACAAATTGAAGTCTACAAAAAAGTAATAGATTTGAGATCACTGCTATAATTATTCCTTATTTTATTTGACTAAATTAATTAGTCCACGTCTCCATGAAGGTATCATGGAGCAATTGATCAGTGAATGCAAAGATTCTATTAAATGACTAATGAACTTAACGGTAAACTCAATTAATAAAAATTTATGAAATGTATTTTGAAATTGTATTTTGATGGAGATGTGCAGTTAAGAATAAGGAAAAATTTTGAATTTGTGAATAATATTATTTTATTGAATAATGTGTGATTGTAAAGAAGTGATAAAAATATATTTTGAAAAAAATGGAATTAAAAAATGCTCTTTATACTTAATGTCACCATGAACATTTCAGTAGCCAAAACTTAATATTTTAAATTTCGTTGAGCAATTGAAGATATAGATCTAAGTTTAGTATTCAAAACTCAATATTTTAAACTTCAGAAACCAATAAAAAACATGGGCCTAAGTTGACTGACCATTGGAACAATTAATTCTACCCGATGCGTGTTTAAGACTTACTTATAGAGCAAAGAGAGACCAGCGGCCAAGGTTTTCTTCATCCACATTACGCTAAAAATTGGGGGAGAGGCTAAAGGGGAGACATACTCATCAGCCCCATGGTGCCAATTTATCTTGTGTTGCAGTGATTTCTACTCAACTTCCTCGTCAACAAAATTGGTACGTAGTATCGGATTTTATTACTGTAAAAACTGACTTCATATGTTGAAATCGCACTCGATCTGATTGTTGTGAATGATTTAATTTGAACTCAACTCATTATAATTTACTTATTTTTCCAAAACTGCTGTTTCTTGATGGTAATCTTCTTGTAGCAAACAGTGAAAACATCTCTTGAATTTTTAATGCGCTTGTTTATGGTTTTCTTCCTTAAAAACTGGCCGCCCATCAAGTCTAATAGGTGAAATACCTAGGACCAAAATCCAGTGGGGCAGTTGCCCCGCTATACCCCAGGTGGCTCCGTCCCTGCTTAATTGATGACTAGTTTTTGGTGAATTGTTGATGGGAGGTTGAAAATTTCACGAGAAAGTGAAAATTCAATGTGTCGGCACTGATCCAAGTTGATTTTCCTTTTCTTTCTTTCTTCATTCCTCTTGCTTTTTTGCTAATCGAAGCCCTAATTGACCTGATTAAAGTCTACTGATGCATGGGTTTTTTCTGAATATTGAAAACGAAGATCATTAACACATTTGATGCAAACAAAATAAAATAAAAAATTATTTCCAACTTTTCTTTGGATTTGAATTTAGAATTATAGGGTAGTGGATTATTTTATTTTATTTCATGGCCGAAAAATCTAGTTTTGGAAAAATGAAAGGGTAGACAAGATTTAAATGAATGCATGTGAGCCTTTCTAACATCGTAACTCTAGAGTCTGGCAAAAACCTTGATACAATTCTGAAAATAGAGCACGTGTTAGATCTTTGATCAAAAAATGAATTGGTTCCGCATGTGAAAGTGCATGTTTTAAATGCACATTTATGAGTGTCTACCTGTCACGCGATCTAGAGCCTGTGTATCTATGTGGCATGCAAGTTTGCTCATGTGTTTTGTTGACCATCTCATCACCTACAAGCTTAAGCAGCTACTGAGTGAGAGGCCACATGTATTCATTTAAATCTTATCTTGAATTGGATCCGCATGTGAAGGTGCATGTTTTAGGCAATATTTAAATGAAGACACGTGGCTTCTGACTAACGACTTAAACTTTTAGTCTTTAGATGACTAGATTGTTAGGTATTATATAAATACATGTGCAAGCTCGTGCCTACCACGTAGAGATACAATCTCTAGATTGCACGACAAATGGTCACACGCGTCAAATTTCATTTGATGTGCACATACATGAGCATAGATAATATAATTTAATGAACTACCGCGACAACACAGATATGGTTCTATTTCTTTGATCAAATTGCTCAATTATACTGCAGTATCAGTGTGTAATCTGAGGTTCTTACTGCAAGTGCACACGTGCATGTTTGCATCTGCATTTCTCACATCCCTACTGGTATTGGAGTATATCTTGGTGAACATTTAAGTTGATGTGACAGATCCCTTTTCAAGTGATCAGATTGACTTTTCTTAAAGTTCTATGTTTTGAGTTTGATTATCTTTTATATATCTGTTTCCTAGACCAGTTGTGTGTGTTTGTGTGTTCAAGGATTGGAGTTTCCCTCGATTTTAATTAGTTCAAACGTCCGTAATTCTTTTGCTGGGTAAAACTAAATCAGCATAGCTCCATAGAATGATACAGCTGTGTATTTGACAGTGGATATCCGGTTTAACTTTTTATCATTTTTGCTTTCGGCATTTTCTTCTTCCCATTGGATGTTTCTCAGGCTGAATATTTATACTAGCATGTGTTGATAGCGATTTCTGATTGCTGTTAAATTTTAATAAATAAAGTTTGCTGAACAATGAACTATTGGTTTGAATTTACTGGAAATTTTCTGCATATGCTTGTTTGATATATACTGAAACGGAATTATTTATTTATTTTTTGGCACTGTATAGCACTATGGGTCCAGAGAGAGAGCTTAAAAAAAGATCAGAAACAAATATGGAGGCTGAAGCTAGTAAGGCTTGTGGAAATTTTGATCAAGAACTCGAAGATAAACTTTTGAAGTTTACAGTCAACCATGAGGATATCCAGAAAATGGAAACTCCCTTGGTTGAGCAAACTGAGGAAGCTGATGTGGAAGTCGATGTAACGGAGTGTACAAATTCTGGTGGCAATGGAATCTCTGAGGTGGAACACCACGATACAACTGAAAACTCAAGTTCTTTTGATGACAGTGATTCTGAAATCGAGAATGCTAATATTGAAGTGTCACATTTTCATGATGGAGCTCCATCAGGACTGGATTTTGATGGATTTGGTGAAATATTTAGGATGGGGTACTTTTTTCCCCACACTTATATTCCTTTAAAGTCCTTTCGTGTAGTTAAAAAAAATTAGAGCATGCACCCTTCACAGAGAAAAACTATGATGCCATTCAATGCAAGTATTAATGATTTTTATTAAAAAAAAGCCAGCCACGGGTTGACAGAGGACCCGAGTTAAAATGGAATTAATCAAGCATTCCTTTTCTGTTGTGACAGGAGATGTAATTGGATCCTTTCCTTTTATCCTGTTCATTTCCAACATGAGTGTAGGCTAATTAATACATCCATCTGTTTGTTTGATACCTGAAATAACTATTTCCCCTCCTTGTTTAAAGCACTAGCATATAAATAATGGAACAAACTGTTGAATTTGATAATGTAATCCAAAATTTCCTTTCATCTTTCTACCGAGTGCTTATTTACTATATCTTTATTTCACTGCATCCCACATTTATTTTATGTACTTTTATCATCCATAGGAAGAAAAAAGTGACAACTCATTGGAGGTCATTTATTCAACCTCTTGTGTGGCGTTGTAAATGGGCTGAATTACAAATTAAGAAGTTCCAGTCTCAAGCACAAGAATATGACAGAAAACTTGCAGAATATACACAACAAAAGCAGCTGCAATCTCAGAACTTGACATTGGAAGATGGTGTGAAATCATTCCCTTTCTCCTGTAACAATGTGAGAAGTAAGGTCCTCAAGCGTAAGAAAAGAAGAACTGAAGAAACAACAGATGTAGCAGCGTATATGTCACGTCATAGCCTTTTTTCTTATTATGGTACGTATTTCTACTCTATTGCCATCAAATACAAATTTAGCCCCTGTTTGAGCCCCATTTTTTTCCCATTCTTTCTCATTATTTTTTCTACAGTACTTATTTTCAACCACTTCCTTCATTAAAATAATATTATATACAAATAAAAAGTTTTTCCTTCTTTTTTAGTAATACACTTTCCGTCAATTTACCATTCCATAATACATTACAAGAAATTAATGGGGCTCAAACAGGGCCTTAGATTGTTTATGTCAATTAAGATTTGATATATGGCACTTCGCAGATAATAAGAAGTCTTTCACTGAGGTTGCTGTGATGGAAGATGACTGGAGAAATCCAGGTTAGAAAGTGGACTTTTGCTGCTTTTTGATTTTGAATGTCATACTGCTTTAGTGTACATGTTATGTCGAGAATCTGTAATGCTGTACTGTAGAAGTTATTATATTTTTGCTTATATGAATACAGATTAAAGCCTTTCTGACTTTATGCTTCTTATTACTAAAATCACTTTTGTCTTTTAGAAAATGAAACCGGTTTTGAGAGTAAAAGAAACCAACACATTTAATTACTGAAGGGAGAAACGCTCAGATTTTTTAAGCTTTTCTGACTCAATTGACCACGCTTTTTATAAATAAAATTGTGCCCCGTCTTTTGAAAAATGAAATCGGTTAAGAGAGTAAAAAAGACCAACACATTTAATTGCTGTATAAAGTTTGATCTGAGTTTCAATTTTCAACCCTCACCTTTTCGCTGCACCGTCAATAACCTTCTTTCTCCACCCAAGATGCTGTTTGATAGTCAGTCACTCCACTCCGGCACAGCCCTCTTTAGCCATTCTGTCTCATTCATCTCCACTGGCAAGTGCCCAATTGAGAAAGATGAAGCGCTAGGTTCGTTTCTCCATTGACTTTATATTTTTCTTTGTTTGAATGCGTTAGCAACATGTTAATGGATTGTTGGCGAGGTGTGCTACTGCAAAAATGGAAAAATGAGTAAAAGGAATAATAGGGACATACCACCTCCATATCTGACCAGTATTGGAAACATGTGGAGCATGTAGGAGTCCGACATGTACCAGACACCGACACTCTGGCATTGGTGGTGTGTTAGTGCTTTCTAGCTTGCCCCCGACCCTCAAAAGGGAAAAAAGAAGAAAATAAAGTTTTCTGCTGGATCCTTTAGTCCCCTGAATTTTCTTCTAATTGGTCAGAGAACCATCTTATCGAGGCAAATCAACGGGTTTGAGCCACTCACAGATGCAATGATTACATCAAATCTTTTCTTCCTTTCCAATCAGGGGCCATGCAAAGGCTATACTTTAAATGTGAATCTTAACATCGTGTTAATAATGCAAATGAATTTATTTTCCTGCTGCCTTTCTGTGCTAGAATGCTTTTAACTGGAGTGAGTTGGCTGTCTTTTTACCCTTTCCTTTTGTCTTGTAATGTTTGTTCAGATTTTAAATTGTTAAAACTGATTGTCTTAATTAATTTGATTATAAACCAATTATTATTTTCTTCTTTTTTATAAAAATGAGGTCCGCTGTTACATGACAGAGTATTGTGTTTTGCAGCAATAGCTACTGAGAGAATCAACTTTGATGATGACTTTTGGGCAAACGATGAAATGCAATGGCTTGAGTCCAGAGACAGTGTTAATTCCTGGGAACATATACTTAGGAAGATTGGATATTTACAGTCACAAGTTGCCCAGATGAAGAGTAGAGTTGACAAGGTAATGAGTGAAGATGTAGGGAAGTATTCTTCCGCAGATGACTTGAGCCTTCTTATGCCATCTAATGCTTTGATTGGTTCTCCTCGAAACACTGCTTCTCTTTCAAACAATGGGGACAGAATGCCTGTAGGAAGTTATATTACATCTCAGCTTCTATCGGAGTACAATATGGGTGACATTGTTAAGCGTGAAACTTCAGGTTTAAGCCTTGGAGATCTTCCTGATGTAATTGAAAGCACTGATCAGTCCGTTCTTGGAGATTTGTGCAAAACTGTAAAGTCTTTTATCCAAATCCAATCTTGCTTTCGCTCACAATACTTGTTAGGCATGTTTTTTTCATCTACACGTCAAGAACAGACTTTTTTTTATCCTAATAATCATTAACCCTCGTTGCTTTTTGTTCTTGTTATCCTCCCTTTTTTCAGTGAAACACCAAGAAAATGCGTAGAAGTGATTTTGGTGCGTGAAATCCTATACATCATTGCACTGCATAAACCTTACTGTGATACATATGTTGGAACTAGCTGATTTTTAGCTGCTCAACTCTCTCCATAGGTGTAGGTTGCTGATGATATTTTCCATATTATCTCAGGCGTGAATAAGCTTTTTCTTTTTACAAAAATAAATTGAATTTAGTTACTCTTTCATGATCAGTGATTTTCTTGCTCAAGGTACATGATCTACAGTCATATTTCTTATTTTTTGCGCCCCCCCCCTCCCCCCCAAGAAGGTGGTCAGAGATAGGTTACTGCCATACTGAATGTGAACTTCCATTAAGTTCTTGGGTTTTTTGTTCTTGATATGATCCTTGAGAGTACCTGTTGTAAAGAATTTAAAAAGTGGCTTTTCTTGAGCTGTACCATATTGAGCATGGCTATTACTACTAGCGAGGCAAATACTTGAACTCTTGAAAACTAAATTTTGTTAATACAATCTCAGGTATGCAACTTTTTTATTCGAAGTCAATATCAATAAACCTATAACTTGTGCAGGCTGAAGATTATCTGCTTATTGATAATACGAGAGTGAAGGAAGAGATGAATAATTTCGAGGAAGTCGAGATTCAGGCTATCCAAAAGCCTTTGGTACTGAATGATGGGTCAGGTAGCACCATCCCTCCACTTCCTGCAGACGCTGATCAGGCCAATGATGATCAACCACCACCAAAACTGCGTTCTATTTCAAAGCTAACTGCTCCTAAAACCAGAAGGAAGAGGGGAAAACGAAAAGGTTCTGGTCAGTGGAAACGAAGATCCTCAGATTAGATGCCTAATATTTGGTGACAGTATTTTCTCTCAGATCAAAAAGTTTGGAAGACACAGGATATTGATGTTAATTGCCTTTGTGACCGAAGAAATTTGTTGAGTGTACTTCAACCTACCAAAAGATCCACATCTTGTCTCCTTGGAAATGACAGTATACAATTCTCCTTTCTAGTATGTACGTGCCGAAGTTGCTCTATCTTGCTGTGTATATCTGTTGGTAAATATGAATGCTTGATGAAATTAAACAATTGCGAATAGTTTCCATAGACATGGAAAATTTTCTGAATAATAAATTACATTTATTTGCATTCTTTGTTAACAATTGAACAACTGATTAATTGAGACAAAGGACTGTTTATTCAACCTGTTGATCTACACAATATTCTGGAACATCACAGAAATTATGCATATTGCCTTGTATATTTATGAGCCAACCTCACCAAGAATCATCTTCTGGGATAATTTGGCAGAAACTAGAGCCAGCACTGTAATGGAGGGCACAAAAATAACATCGGGAAGTGCTTTGATCAATTTAAGCTGGGGAACGTTCTCGCCGGCTCTCTTGGCTGCCATAGCAGCCGGAGGTGTTACTAGTCCGGTTATGAGGGTAAAATCATCCAATTTGCTAATATTCACCCTCTTCATCATGAATTCCATTATAATTTCCTTCCTTCTTGACTCCTCTGCCTTGTCCCAGGCCTCAAAGCACACCTATTTTTGCTATTTTCTTGTTAGTGCAAGCGCATATGTACGAAAGAGAGAGACAGAGATAAGAGACTACCTGAACTTCCTCTTGTAAAGGAACATTATAGTGTTTACCAGGCAATGCTGCATTCACTGTGCTGAGAAACAAATTTAAAGGGAAATAGTTATTAACTGAAAGAGTATGTATTTTCATAAATGGATAAATCTATTATTGCAATTGGTACAATTTTTACTTGAACATATCAAGAATCGTCATATGGAATTTGTCAAAGTCTGAGACATCTTTCTCCATGAACTGCCTTTCAAGGGTTCCCGTTAACGAACTTAGCAACTGAGTTGTTGGCAGACCTAGCATAAGAAATTACAAACGGATATAAAAATTGCATAAAAGAAAAATGAAAACTTGATCCCACCATGATGAGATTACTAACCCTTTCCCATGAAGCTCATGAACATCCCCATCTTGCAATAATATGACTTCGTGTCGCGGTCGTGACGTATATATTGAGAACATACAGGTGGGTGGTGAAAGCAAGGTATCCATTAGTAGGTTCCAATGGAGATATGTAATCTGATTCCTAGCTTTAGCTTTAGTTTTATGGAAAACTGCAGTATAAGCTTGTGCAAGATGATTTATATCTGTATTCATTATTTCTTTGCATCGTACATAACTTGCATAAGACAATTGTATTACTTGTACAGAAGCAATGTACATACTGCATTAAACACAGCATGTGAGCACTCAACTGCCTCTGTAATGCATTATGTATACTATTTTTGTACAAGTAGCACAACTCTTTTTGAGATGTCACTACTTAAATGAGTCCACAAGCAAATTTGATGGGGAAAATGCTCGTTGTCCATCATCATTTACATAATCTTTTATAGATTTATTTTTGGTTGATGAAATTTTGACCCAATCAAATTTTGTCACATCGTCTGTTGATAAATAAACTGTAAGTCGGGATGTATATAGAGCACAACCGGATTGATGGGTTGCGTTTAATCATAATCACACCCTTTATCTTTTATGTCCTATTTTGATGCGTCATTTATGAATTCATTAGCACGTTAATTAAAAATGAGACACGACAATTAATATCCCATAACTTTGGCTAAAAAAACAAGGTTAAAATTCCTACTTAAAATAAGAAAAAAATCACATGCCATTTTTAGTATCTCACAGAGGTTGACCAAAACAATAAATAAATCAAAGAATTTCTATCAATTTCCAGAAAATCTTGGCGAAAGATAACTCCATCTATATTAACGAATTTAGGAAGCGTGACATGATCATCTTAAAATTAAGATATTCTAAATCTTGTAAATAAGGAATAAGGCACGCATAATTGTGCTAAAACAACAATTTTCTCATAAAGCAGACGAGATCAATGTCAGAAAAACAAATGTGTCTACTTGTGCTAAATTAATAACCGGAAATTTATTGCAATACAAATTTATGTAAAAGCAACAGAAAAATAAGAAGGAAAGTTCCCCTTCAAACATGAAAAAAGAAAGAAAATTTGCAAAAGCAAACCATCTTAAACAGTATAATGGTTGTTCATGGTTTCGATGTCTAATCCTCTCAGCTTGGCAAAGGACTCCACCTTGCCTTTGAGAGTGTGAATTTCTCTCAGCCTGCATAATTTTCACATAGCAGTCAAATTCCTTCTTTTCTACTCAATGTTCTAAGAGCAAACAGTTTGTTGGTTGTGTCATGTGTGCATCGTGTAGGGGCGTGTGTATGTGTGTGAGTCGAAGTGATATATGTTTCATGCAGTGTGCACTTGACATGAATTATACTTAATATGATTTCTCGTGTTTAAAGTTTTTGTGATTGTCACCTTGAAATTTCTGCACGCCTTTTAGCTTCTTCTGCCATAAGAGTAATGTCCCTAAAGGCGCTTCGCTCGAACATTTTTGCTTCAGCAGATTGAAGTCCATGCAGTGTCCGTTGCTCAGCCGCCCATGCAGCCTCACGAGCTTCCCTTCCAAAGTCCTTTCGGTTGGTGAGTGCAGTCTGATGAGGAGAAACAAAAATACGGCTGATTCAGATCACTGTCAATTTTCTTTTAACGAGTTTCAAAATCAATAAGATATGTTTTATCCATGACTGCAAGTGAAAAAGTGATTAATATTTTCTTTTTAAGCCATGAGTTATACAAAATTTTGTAAAAATAATGTGTGTAAAACTTAGCAGTTTGGCAGTTTATGAGAGCTCCTATTAGATGAATATTTCTAATAGAATATGTTTCCAAGACTCACTCTCTGCTCCACCACCAGACCCCAGGCTCTTCCACTGAGTGCATATCGAACGGCGAATTTGATGGGATCAAGAAGAAAATATGTCACTGTGTTGTACAACCAGATCACACCGGTCCAACCCCAGCCTATCTTTCTGATTCCAGCAAATTTGAGAGTTACAGTGGCAGATAATACTGTTGCAACCTGCAAAAGGGAATTAGGATCAAGATTGTCACGCGGTAAAAAATATATTGTCTTCAACTTTCAAATAACTAGAAGCTAAGAAAAGTTAGATTATGTAGAGCCTAATTATATTAACTTATCCCTCTGACAGCAAATCGACTATCTTCCTACATTATATAAAGGATCTTGAGGGGGTCGTTTTTGTGTGTGAGATCAAAATACAGGTGTGAATCTCCATCATAAACTTCTGCCCGATACTAATAAAAATCTCAACAGACTATGAAGCTTCACCGTTTCCTGTGACTGGGTTGCGAATTGGACACGTTAAGGTAAATTTGCATAAATCTGTGCTCTTCGTTCATTTCTGATTTCTTTTCCTTTTATCATTTTTAGAATCTCAACTCCCAATTTTGAGTTGAGAAATCCTCGCTGTAAGTTAAGCTGGAAACGCTTGACTTACTGATGTGCAATAACAACCCAAAATGAAATGGTATGGCAAATTCTTTTACCAGTTGTGCAATGATGAATGCAGTGACGAGCAGGAGTCCCGGACGTTCGGTAAAAGACCATCCTCGTGAGCGAGTCACAAAAATTAAGGCCTGGCTGATGGTGCTGACTTGAAGATAAACTGCAGATGCCATCATTTCATTGAGTGGGTCTGCTTGCGTTTCATTTTTCATGTTAAATTGGTGCTTGTTGAAGTTCTTTACATGGAAAACATTCTGAAGAAAGGGAAAATATGAGATCCTGATGCAGAAAAGCAAACAAAAAGAATTGATTCACGTTTTTGTATATTTAAGAATGCAATTCCCAGAAGTGGCTTACGTGGAAGAAGTCTCTTTCGTATGCTACCCAGAAAAATATTACAGTCATTAAAGCCATGTAACCTCCGAGAACAATCCCGGTGGTGAAGATCTCACTAAGTTTCCAACTGTCTGGAATTGGAGAAGGCTTGACCCTGTCTTTAGATATTGTCATGATAGTACCTGAACAATAGCATTACATGTTACTCAAGAAGCGCTAGGAATAACATAATTCAAGAGAATGTGAAATTCCTAAATCTGAAATGACTGACCATCGTTAAGGATGGCGATGACAAGAACCATGAAAGGAGGGAAGTTAAATTTCCAGAATACTGTTAGCAGCGTAAATCCTAACTGCAAACATAAATTCGATTCCAATAAGATCAGAGAAAGGAGTTCTCTTTTTTCACATGAAATAATACATATATTCTTCAGAGAACTTACCACTATACGTATAGTGATAGACACAGCATATATCTGGAGAAAACATAAAAATTTTATTCCTGTTCTATCATTTCAAAAATTGAACTTGTTAATGTTGAAATGTTACATCACCGTGTAGTTCTTCATTCTTTGAAAGATTGCACGGCTTGTTAAAACAGCACTGATGATGACGCTTAATCCAGGTTCCGTCAGAACTATATCAGAAGCACTACGAGCAGCGTCAGTGGAATCTGCTACAGCTATTCCTATATCAGCTATTTTTAAAGCGGGTGCATCATTTACACCGTCACCAGTCATTCCGCAGATATGCTTTCGGGCTTGTAACTTCTTCACAATCTCATATTTATGTTCTGCAGATAATATACAAAAATCTGAGTCGGGACCGGAGGACTTGATAGTTGACTTGCAATCAAACCACAACAAACTAGCCTTATTCCAAATAAATTTGAGGTTAGTCATGTGAATTCTTTTTCACCATTCCATTTACAGATAAAATTGTCTTTCACGTCATTCCAAAATTATGCAAAGAGAAAGAACTTCTATTAGAATTACAACATAACACATACCAGGGAAGACACCGGCAAAACCATCAGCCTTCTCAATGAGTTCATCAACTGGTAGAGCTGCAATAGATTCATCCTTATGGTCACCGAGCAAAGATGAAGAAGGGTACATATTTGTGCCCATCCCAAGCCGTCTTCCTGTTTCCTTAGCAATTGCCAACTGATCACCTGCAAAAGATTTCCAATAATGAACTTCTAACTCGGGTGCATGACAAGGCATTGATGCTATCATTCTTCAAAGAAGAGAATAGCAAGCTAAAGAATGCAAAAAAATTTCATTCTGCCTAACTTTTGATCATTTATTACCTGTGATTTATGTGTACATTGAACCTTCTATAATACGTTCAGAAATCTATCTAGATATTACAATGGCTATGAGATTAACCTAGAAAATAATAACATCGGGGACCGTGAAATCTGAAAAAGATCACATAAGAAGTGCAACGTGTACTGGTTAGGTTGGCCCACAGACATGTCATTTATCTATTCCAAGATATTTTTGTGCAGTTATATATCAGTCAATTATATGCAAATTATTTGGACTAAATAGAACATCATATGTTCATTAAGAAGCAGTGACACAGACCTGTTATCATTTTGACACTCACACCAAGATCAAGAGCTCTCGTAATTGTTTCAGCACTGTCATGTCGAGGAGGGTCAAAAAGTGGAAGAAGGCCAACAAATTCCCAGGGGCTGCCCAGACTGTCTTTGGTGCCTTCAGGCACTTCCTGAAGGAGAATAAGCCTGATAGTTCATAATTATCGCCAAGGGAGACATGGACGAAACAACAATGAAGTTTCAAAAGCTATACTACCTGACGTGCCACTGCAAGGGAACGAAGCCCACGTTCTGCAAATTTGTCAATTATGGAATGTACCTTTCTTGCAATTTCTGATTTGTTATGTGCTAGATTAAGAATCTAGGGGGAATCATTTTAAGAATGTTAGATATTCTGAAATAAATATCCTGGCAGTGAAAACTGAAAAAAATGTTAGGACTTGTCTAGTATACTACCTACCTGCTCTGGTGCACCTTTGCTCACTCGATGCATTTTACCAGCTTGATCTATGTAAGTTAGAGCTGTCCTTTTGTCTGTTGGATTGAATGGGAGGAAGTGAACTTCCGTGATTCCAGCTCGTGCCTGGGAGAAAATAGTAAAATAAGAAGTAAATCAAGTAATTATCAAGGAGTGAAAGTATTTATCAGCTTCCAAAATTAATGAAATAAATAACTCGAGAGTTTTATTGAGTAGGGATATTGTATACATGAGAAGAGGCAGATCTCGAGTTTTATTGAG